CCCCAAAACCCCAAAACCCCAAAACCCCAAGCAGAAAAATATATGTTAGAATAGCTGATTGACAAAAATGAAAATTGAAAATTTATCTGAATTATTTACTTGCAAGCAATTAAGGTTCTGATTAATTTTATCAATATCATTTAAGATAGCTAGATAAGTTTTGAGTTAGTATCGCCTACAGTAAGCTTAAACTCCTTACCTTGCTCCTTAACTACTATCAATAATTTATTTTAAACTCAAAACAGTTCGTCGAGATCTTCATCGCCAATACCACCATCCTATTACTCTTCGTCATTCGCATCTTGCTCCTATTAGCGATGATGATTATTATGATTGTTGTTGCCTTGGCTGCCGTCTTCATCCTCACCAGCATCATCCTCTTGATCTTCGTTTAAGTTGTGGAATAAACCCTTGAGATGGGTAGCTTCATGCTTTTCAGAGTCTTTCAAAATATCTTTATCCTTAAACACTGCAGATTCATTAATATCGATCTGGTTCTCACACTAATAACATGAATATTAATCTATGCATCTAACTTACTCTAATCGAATCATAGGTTTTATTGATGGCTTAAATCTCTTGCTGGGTATAGCCGCGGCCTGCAATCACTATATACTCCGAGTTTTTGCCTTTTCTGGCTTACTAAGATGCCACCATGTCTCCCTCCAATATCATTTCACGCATGCTCTTACTAATTTGCCTCTTTTTCTTTTATAGACCGATCTTACTACTTATCGGTATGTACTTTACTGTATTCAATTTGTTGTTATCTGCCTGAGGCATCATAACTAGAAAGTCGTTCATCTATGACTCAGTATTCTAGACAGTGTAGATGTAGTCTCTGACGTGCTTCAACTGTATAGCTTTCTCCAATTCTTGGAGACTGCCATTAGAATTCTTAAGTCTCTTTCCCAGTATTGATTCTTTAATCTACTGAGTCAAGCTCACCTCATCATTAAACTTGTAAAGAGCGTATTTCTTGTAGTTTTCATCTTCATCGTCAACATAGTGTCTAAGGATGAAGTCATTATTCTCTGCTTTTTTGTTCAGTTCTAACTCAATGTTATCATCACAGATCACTAGTTGAACCTTATTCGGCATTTACTAGAGAAACGGAACGAAGTCAACTACCTTAGTTGCGACCACACCTGGGTGCTCAGGTCCTTTCTGGCATCCTACCTAAATGTGCTTGACAGCTTCGAATCTCCTCTATATCTGCTAAACTGCTAGCTCTCTTTTGTGTTTGTCTCCCTTGATGGTAAAAACAGAGTCATTTTCAGGTTCATCTTCATCTAGACTTCTTACTGCAATAGGGTTTCTGATGTCTACTCCCCACTTATTGACCTTATCAATAAGTTGATATCTAGATGGCAGCTTTATCACTCTCTCCTATTTTTCTTAAGGTCTCTCATCAATTTCAAAAGTGTTGCGGTCACTCAATATGAACCTATCCTTCTCATCGAAGTAAGTCTACCTCATCAACTCCAGCTCCTTTTACTCTTTCTCAGTCTAGGCGATTGTCTCGGATGAGTGATTGTTTCCATTGTGAATAAGAGGCTTGCCATGTCTATGCACCTTGGGGAAGGGTAAGAATATATCTCTATCTATGAAGTCAATATTCATGCCCATGTTATAGTCCACATTAATGATGTGCTCCTAATTCATCTCGACTGAGCTCAATTCATACTGATACGCTTTTTTGTTGTCAATCTTAATCTTGAAGAGTTTGGGCTTAATTGGAATATCTGGAAGCTAATAAGCCAATTTATAAGGTGGCTGAAACTCATCTGGATTCTGCAATAGCTCAAGTCTATAAGAAATATGATGTGAGACTAGGATAAGTAGATGTAAGTGAGTACCTTTTGTAGTTAGATTTGATAGCGCCAGTCTAGATTTACTCTGCCATTAATTTTTAATTAAATTATGTAATTTATCGCTAATTTCATTTTACTTCATTCATTCCCATAAATGGTGATTAACTATCCGGGGTTTTGGGGTTTTGGGGTTTTGGGG